TACTGGGAGCAGGGGGTGGGGCTTGTTGCATGTGCCCGCCCCCCGGACTCTTTACTGCTGGAGCTCTGCTCCTGTACTCTCCTGCAGTAAATGACCCCTGGGTGTACATGCCTAGGGCACTAGAGTTGTTCCAGTTTGCAGGGGTACCAAAAAAGGCCCACCACAGATGTGCTTGGCTTGCCTCCCCCGTTACCAGGGTTGGTCACTGGCAAAGGAACAAATAAATGAGAAAGAGAGAGAGAGAGAGAGAGAGAGAGAGAGAGAGAGAGAGAGAGAGAGAGAGAGAGAGAGAGGTTGATTGGGAGGAAGGAGGATCAACTCCAGTCACTTGGAGTCTTTGGCATAAACCTGCCAAGAGATTGGACAAGGAAGGAGTAAAAGGGGCAGGAGAGGCTCTTGGGATTGGAGGCAGGCAGAAGTGGCATGCATGGCTCCCTGCAAGTTGAAGACCTCACTCATCTTGTGGTGCAACATATGCATAGTGGGGATGGTGGAAGGGTTTCTGATTTAAAGGAGGCCTTTAAAGGAGCTGCCTGTGGAGGGAGCCAGGAGGAGTGGGGAAGGCAAGCAGCATAGGCTGATCCCCTGACTGTGAAGATCTTTCTGCCGCCAATCCCAAGCAAGGTCTCAGACTGCTCAAAAGCAAAAGGGAGCACAGCAACACAAAGGGATGCGTCAGGACTACGCAGCCTTCCCATCGCGCCATAGAGCAGCAGAAATGCCAAATGAAACCTGTTCTCTAAACTAGTGGGCAGCAGAACAAGCAGGGGTAGATGAGGGAGTGTTCTGAAACATGCTTCCCAAGATACCTTGCTTATCCTCTTCTAAAGAGCCATCAGTCCACCCATGCGTGGAACATGGCTAAGTTTATTATGACCACTTCATTACAGGACTGGAGAAAGGTGTGGAAATGGTGAGGAAACTATACATGCTCTGAAGAGCAACATCAAGAGAGCAATGCCTTGTATGCCTTCTCACTTTTCTCTCTAATGGATGGGTGTGGGGCGCTAAAGTCATAGTTCACCTGGGGCACTAAAAACCCTTGGGCTGGCCCTGCATAGCTACATGAAAGGAGCTGTCAGCTCTGTTAGTGGATTTATGAGCACTCCAGGGCATTTAGCCAGCAAACAAATACAATAACCCACCTAAGAGCTATATATATATATATATATATATTAGTGAACAACACAAACCTGTACTTCTGGCTCAATTAAGTGCCAGTGACCGAAGGGAGGGGCTGCTCCAGAAAGGTTTTTGTAAAAGACAAGACAGACCTTACGATGACAATGATCTTGGTTTTCACGATGCTTGTAAAACTTTTAATTACCTGTCAATCTTTTTCAAGCCAAGAGCAAAATAAATAATAGAACAGGAAGTCTCAGTGCAATCCTAAACAGAGTTAAACCCATCTAAGCCCATTGGATTCAATGAGGTTCAAAGGGTGTAGCTCAGCTAAGGATGCAGGCCCGTAGCTATGGTGGGGCTTTTGGGGGCTCTGCCCCCTTTCTTAAAGGCAAAGCCCCACAAGAATTGCTCCTGTAAATGCTTTTCCCCCCAGTCATTTTAAATGAGCAAGGGGGTTGGGGTAGGTGACCTCTAGGATCCCTTCTAACTCTGTGTCAAGAAACTGGTCTCCTTTAAGAGAGGTTTTCTGCCTAAGTGTTAGCTTTCTTGACTATAGGTCATCACTCCCACCTGCCGGCTTGTTATCAGAATTGTTGCTTAGGCTGGCAGAAGTGATTAAATTGCAGCAGCTGAGAACTGTCATCTAAAGTGGTTGACAGCTTGCAGTTTAGAGATCTATCCTGGTAACAGCTTTCTGTTGGCTAGATGGCTTTTCTCTAGATGGCTTTTCTTTCTGCACTGAGGACTTCAGCCCCATCAGGAAAAAAATTGCCCCACAAACCACAAAATCCTGGCTACGGACGTGTGAGGATGGCATTATTAGGTAGTGGAAAGTTGGATTAATTTATTTCAAAATGCTTTTTAAAACCTTTTTGTTGAAAAATGAGCAAAATATAATCCATTTATCTCATTAATTAAAGATTACCTAAAACAGATTATGGGGATCAATATTAGACCAAACATTCATACAAAATAACAAATGGTTGCCAAGACTGCTCAAATAGCTGTGCAGGCTTTGTATTATTCCATAACTGATCCTGTTCAGTAGGCTTGGCCATTTCAACAATTAACAATCAAAAATCAGTCTTGTGTGGACTAGGATTCCATTTGTTGGCCCGCATCCAGCCCATTACAAAATCCAGACATTTGTTTAGAGCACAGGCTTTTTTTGTTCCATTCCCTCCCTAACAGCAGACAGATAGCAGCATTTTGCACCACTGATGCGTCCAAAGGGTTTTCAAGGGCAGCCCCATGTAAACACATTGTAGCAGTCTATCTGTGAAGTCAAACAGAAGTCCAATGACTCCTTAAAAGACTAGCAACATTTATTTTAGCATGACCATTTGTGAGTCAGTTCTTGAAGAAGTGGATTCTGACTCACAAAAACTCATGCTGGAATAAACATTAAGTCTTTAAAGTGCCGCTGGAATGGTGTTTTATTTTGCTACGAACAGCAACATTCAGAATTATCTGTGAAGTAAACAGGATAAGAATGTCTGTGACTTTCCTTCCAAGAGGGGATGTAGGTGGAAAAATTAATCCTTGGCAACAACTGCTATCTGGAATATAGCAGATTAGCTAGGTTGTGGTACAAATGCTAGGTTGTGTTCTACTACTCCATGCAACATACTCCTCCCATGTGTTCTGACTGTGCAGGTACAAAGAGGGGCTAAACTTTGATCTGTGATGAAAAAGTAGGCCTCTTTAATGACCCATTCATGGGCTGCAGTCACACTGGTGGCTTGGTGTGGTAAGGTGGTGCCTCAAATTGTACTGGTTCAAAGTATAGTGGGACATTTCATCCAGACTGCACAACCTATGGCGGGTTACCCGCGTGGCTGTCCCGTGGGGGAGCATTCACATTAGTGTTGCACTTCAGCCATGGGACAAGCTGTAAGAGTGGGTTTTATTTAAATGCCAGCAGATAGATGGGCATATACACTCATGCACATATGCGCATATGGGCAGCAACTAATGGATATGCTAGTTCAGACATCCCTTCTGGGTTCCTTTCACTGCAGGAAAGTTCAGACATCAGAAAACCTGCAAAGAACCGCGAACAATCCATTCATACCGGACTTTCCCTGGTATCTGTTTATTCTGCTTCCATTGTGGAACAGCAGGGGCGGCTGACGACTGCACCACGGGAGGCAGGTGTCCTCGTCTGGAGGGGCCCATTGATTCCACTCAGGCAATGCCACTATAGTGTCACAAACTGTGTGTGTGACTGTAGCCCAGGTTAGGCATGCTTTAACCAGTGATACAAGAAGTTGTATCCACCAACTACTCAAGAACAAAACCTACCACAAGCTGCAACTTATAAGTTACAAATGGAGCTTACTTACCAAGGCACAATTGATGGCCCATGATCCAGTAGCATACGAAGCAAGCAACACATGCAGAAAAGCCTGTTGAAGTGTCTGTCTGGAAGGTTGCTAGACAAAATGCCCATGGGCAGTGGGAGAGCAGACAAGGGAAGGACACAGGAGGAGGAGGAGGAGGAGGAGGAGGAGGAGGAGATTGGATTTATACCCTGCCCTTCACTACCCAAAGGTGTCTCAGAGTGGCTTACAAACTCCTTTCCCTCCCCCTCCCCATAGGGTTGCCAAATTCGTCTTTGCCGGGAGCGGGGGGCTCCCGGCCGGCGTTGGGGGTGTGCGCGCGCGCCGCATGCACGTCACGGCGGGGTTCCCCTGGGCCCCGATTCCGCTGTGTCAGAAATCGGAGCTTCAAAGCGGGGGATTCCCCGCCCCCCGCCCACATTTGGCAGCCCTACCTCCCCACAACAGACACCCTGTGAGGTAGGTGGGGCTGAGAGAACTCTTGACAGAAACAGCTCTTTTTCAAGAACAGCTCATTATCAGAACTACGGCTTGCCCAAGGTCATCCAGCCAGGTGCAAGTGGAGGAGTGGGGAATCAAACCCGGTTCTCCCAGATTAGAGTCCGCGCACTTAACCACTACACCAAACTGGCTCTCCTCCACAAGTAAGTGGGAGGTGTACTGGTGGTTGAGAGGGAAGGAGGGCATGAGGGCCTGGTGGTGGGCAGAGGAGAGGAAGAGCCCTGAGGACTCTCTGCCCAGCCTCCCCCCTATGCCTGGAACCGGCTTTGTTCCAGGTGTCGCCCAACATGGAGGTGGGTTTGGTTTGCTTTGGTGGGCTTGCTGGTGTTGGGGCATCAATGGTATCAATGGCATCAATGGCAGTTTTGACAATGGAAGAAATGATCCCAGGACGCCGTTTTTAGAAGATGGGCCTACTTTTAGAGGCCTGTTTTTGGTATCCTGTAAGACCTGTTTTCAGCAAGCAATAAACGGTAAACTCCTTTGCCTAGACAGAAATTGACATTCTAGAAGGGGGGCAACCTGCCTGCGCAAACTGTCAACCACTCCCATAAATTACCAGCAAGACGTAGACAGGTTTACATGACAGCACACAATAATAAAAATAAGCCGAGAAAATAAATAAATCAAAGCTTCCGAAAAGTTTTACAGTTGACATTTGAATTCCTGTGTCAGCCATGATTGACAAATATGATAAATGAGGGCCTTCAAGAGGCAGAGACTTGTTTGTTAATTATATAGAGATAGATTATTGGAGTCAAAATGCTTGCCAAGTGATAACTATGAACCTTTGGTAATCCCAATGAACATCATTTTTTTTGCATCTCACCCAAATGAGCAAGGTGTGAACACAGTATTTAGTGGGCACCGGAGAAGGATGGGCTGGTGTCTGGCCAACCAAGCCTGCAAATAGTTCAGATTTCTGTCATTTCACTTGTCCCATTGAGGTCAACTTCTAAAAATTATATAAAGGACAAACACATACAGGAAGACTCTTCAGGGAGGACCTTGAGTTGTTTCTTTCTCCTTTAGCTTCAATCTTCATGCTACCATGAGTCGGCAGGTGAACGCCAGGCCTTTGGGAGGAAGAAGGGGATTCAGCGCTAGCTCTGCTGTCGTTTTCGGAGGGGCCAGGAGCAGTGCATTCCCTCCAAGCCGAAGGCGCACGGGAGGAGCAAGCGGAAACTGTGGCTTTGGCAGCAGAAGCCTTTACAATCTTGGGGGTATGAAAAGTATTTCCCAGAGTGTGGTTGCAGGAAGTACCCGACGTGGAGGTGGACTTGGCGGCAGCAGTGGGTTTTGCTATGGTGGATTTGCCGCTGGTGGGTATATCATTGGCAACTTTGGCAATGGAAGAAATAGTCCCAGCTTTCTTTGTTGTCCACCGGGGGGAATCCAAGAAGTGACCATTAACCCCAGCCTTCTGGCACCCCTTAACATGGAAATTGATCCTGAAATCCAGAAAGTGCGGAAAGAAGAAAAGGAGCAAATCAAGAACCTCAATGACAAATTTGCTTCCTTTATTGACAAGGTGAGATGTCTAACTATTATTACTGTTGTTTTTTGTTACTACATTGCAGAGATCAAGTCCTCCTATGTCCCAGTAGATCCAGAACACAATATTTTGCCATCAGGAATGGCCCTTCATCATTCAGTGTCCTAGAGTGCTTGTTAAGTTGTCCTATCTATATTGAGCAACCTACCTTATTCCTGACATCTCTAGTTATGTCCAAAGACTAATGATGCCAGCCTCCTGGTGGGACCTGGGGATCCTCTGGAATTACAGCTCATCTTTGGACTACAGAGATCAATTCCCCCGGAGAACATGGATGCTTTGGAGGGTGGACTCTATGGCATTGTACCCAACCCAACTGAGGTCCCTGTCCTCCCAGACTTCATCCCCAAATTTGCAGGAGTTACACAGCCTTGATCTGGCAACCCTACCCCCCATCCCTATCAAACACTTGTAAGGGATGCTCTAGGCTGATCCTGCATTAAGCAGGGGGTTGGACTAGATGGTCCGCATGGCCCCTTCCAACTCTGTGATTCTATGAGTCTATCCCCTGCTGGTGGACACGGGGGACCTGGCAATCCTACCAAAGACCTGGCCCATTTATCCCTCCTTCCAAGATCAACATGAAGCAGGCAAACAGCAAAAAAACAACAAAAAGCACACCTAAAATGCCAAACATGGGTGATCCATGCATGCATTTGAATTTAACATGGACATTTATATACTTATACACCACGTGGCTTACAATGTCACCCCCTCTCCATTTTATCCTTACAACAGCTACCCTGTGAGTTGAAAAACAGTGAGTGACTGGCTCTAAGTCACTGGGGTTCCATGGCACAGTGGGGATTCAAATCTGGGTCTCCCAAACCTCAGTCTGATAGTCTAACTGTCCGCTACAACATGCTGACTTGGCATAGAAACACCACTGGTTGTACCCCTTTCAATTCAGAGCCATTTAGCTCTACTAATTATATATTTTCCCCTTTATATCTGCCCGCCAAGGAAGTACCTTTTGTTTTTGACAAAGTGGCCTCTAGTCCATAAAAATTAACACCACAATAACCTGTTATGTTCTTTAAGATGCCACAAAACCTTTTGGTTTTACTGTAGCAGACTAAGCATGGCTCTTCCTCTGGAATTCGTCTTTTATTTTTTGAAGTTCTCAGGCCAAAGGTCATAATTTAAAATTTTGAAATGTCAACCTGCATATCTGCCAAGTTTTAATTTCTTTGCTAGTTTAATCAACACATAAAATTACCTGAATTCTACAGTTGTCTGAAGATGAAGATAAAAAAAGTTTTCCCTGGCTATTTATGGTGCCAAAAGATGATAAACTGTGCACATTTACTTGGGAGTAAAGATCACAGTTATGGACTTAGAATTGGTTGCATGTGGAATTGCATGGTTGTGTGTGCATTCCATGTTCAGCACCACTTTGGAGAAGTCTTACTCCTTCAATTGCACATTCTCCAGTTTGGCTGACTCAGGAAGTATTTTAAAGAAGTTAAAGACTTCTGTGTAAATTTCTCTCCTTACTTTTTCTTCACAAAATCAATGTTTTCATTGTCCATTTGCTCATGATGTAGACAAACAGTTTGCTGCAGCCAAAATTAAGCACTTTCATATTTCATTGAAATTAATATCACCTAAGCAGAGCAGTCCTGTGCACATAATCAGTTTCAGTGGGCTTATTACTGGAATATTTCTGTAGAAAGTTGCTCAGAAAAGCACTTAAACTTTGGCTAGATCATCATGCCCAGATACATTAGGCATGATTCATATATTGCTTACAGTATTACAGATACGCATAAAGGCTCCCGACTTTTCAATTTTTAAACTTATTACTATGGCACTTCATAATAAAACAATGGAGCTGCGGTGGCTCAAGTGGTTAAGACGCTGAACTGCAGCCTGTGGAAGGTCGGTAGTTCAGCAGTTCGAGACCCGAGTTGCCGCATGACGGAGTGAGCCCCCGTCTCTAGTTCCAGCTCCTGCCAACCTAGCAGTTCGAAAGCAAGAAATTGCAAGTAGATAAATAGGGACCACTTCAGTGGGAAGGTAACAGCATTCCGTGCGCCTCGGTGTTTAGTCATGCCGGCCACATGACCACGGAAACGTCTTCGGACAGCGCTGGCTCTTCGGCTTTGAAACGGAGATGAGCACCGCAACCCTAGAGTCGGACTCGACTGGCTTTCGAGCAAGGGAACCTTTACCTTTAATAAAACAATATAGGTAAAATATACCAAATCAACCCATTTCTAATCACAACCAGAAAATCATAACATTTCTCAAAATAAAGGAAACAGGAAATGTGTGGGAAAGAAAATAAGAAAGGGATGGGGGAGGAGGGGAATAGATACATTATACTAATACAGTTGGGTCCTGGGTAGATGATCTAGCAACCTTGCAGCTTCGATTATCGTAACAAGATCAATGCGCAAACCAGGAGTGTGGCTGCATTGGCTGTATATATAGAAGTATGTTGTGCATGTGGGGACTAACTTCTCTTGTGATCCTTTTTGTTGGTGGCATTACACTCCTGCTAGGTCGGCCTTGATATCTGGGTTGCCTATTCTCTGTTGAAAGTATACATGTGGGAACCCTGATGTGTATATGATGGAACTCTAAAATAGTGCAATGCTTTTTTGTCTGAGCACATTATAAGGAGATTTGGGTTTTCGGAGTTTCCCCTTATGATCTATTTATGAGGAGATGCAGCCGAAGCAGTTAAGGGACCAAATCATTTTGTTTAGGAATTTAATTGTTCTGGCAGGACTGTTGCCAGCCTAAACTAATTCAGAGGGTTGCTGTGAGGACCAAATGGAATGATGCCAGCCACTTTGGGTCCCTCATGGGGGAGACAGGATCCAAATAAGTGAAATATGTGGTAGAGAATTTAAACACAATTATGTTCTGTCAAAAAGATTTACAAGGATTTTCAAAATTTCAGACAATGAGAAGAAATGTGGAATGTGTGTGAAATTATGCTGTATTGTTGTATGCATATTTTAACTTCGGTATGGCCGTCTGTGAGCCGCCCTGAGCTGTTGGATAGGGCGGGATATAAATCCCAAAAATAAATAAATAAATAAATAAATAAATAAATAAATAAATAAATAAATAAATAAAATGGTATTACACTTGGCTTCCACGCTTTCCTCGAATGGCCTGGAATGGTAACATGGCCTCCCTCTCTGGGGTTCAGCTTTTGTGTTGTTGATAGTCTGGTCTCTGATGGATGCTTGCAAAGAACGCATCATAACAGTTGTCATTTCTTTAAAAAAATGGTTTCTCAGGTTCGATTCCTGGAGCAGCAGAACAAAGTCCTGGAGACCAAATGGAACCTCTTGCAACAACACCCCATCTCCCAAATGAAGAACAACATCGAACCTCTCTTTGAGATCTACATCAACAGTGTTCGGAAGCACCTGGACTCCCTATGCAGTGAAAAGGGAAGGCTGAGTTCTGAGCTGAAGAACATGCAAGACTTAGTGGAAGATTTTAAGCACAGGTATGGGGGTGGGGGGATAGATGAACCATGCTCGGCTCTCCCTTTTGCCATTTCAGATTTCAGCAAGGTGCTGGAGCATGATTATCAACAAAGTCTAAAGGCCCATGCTTGTACAGTCAGACCCTCCAGCATTTCATAAATGAAAATAATATGCTTCTGTGTATTTGTGACACCCTTTCTTCTCACATTACTGCCTGAGCACTTTCCCCTCCCATCATGCATTGCTGAATATTCTTTCATCTTCTACATACTGAGTTTATGCAAGCAACAGCCTCTTTCTCTTATTCAGAAGTCTAACATCTTGACAGAGTGGGAGGGAGTCCATTATTACAAGCGCTGCCAATAAAAACAAATCCTTATTCTTAGCAGAAGAGAATGTCACTGAAAATTGTGTTGGCATTTGAAATGACATGCTTGATAGATCGTGTAAGTTCATGGGGGTGGCAGAGATATGGGAGAAGACACTTCCTAAGGTAAATGCAACCAGTCTATTTAGGGCCTTAGATAGGGTTGCCAGCCTCCAGGTGGGGCCTGGGGATCTCCCACTTTTACAACTGCTCGCCAACTGACAGAGATCAGCTCCCCGGGAGCAAATGGCTGCTTTGAAGGGTGGATTCTTTGGCCTTGTACCATGCTGAGGCCCCTCCCCTCCCCAAACCCCGCCCTCTCCCAGATCCACCCCCAAAGTCTCCAGGTATTTTCCAGCCCACACCTGGCAACCGTACTGGGCACAATGAACTTGGTTAGGAAACAAACTGATAACCAGGGAAGACGTAGGAGAATCAGCATTATGTGAGTTTCTCAGTCAGCTCCTGATTATGGTGGCTTTTTCACACAGCCTTTGTCATCCATTTTAGCTTCTGGTTTCTTACGGATTTTTGTGTGTGTGCCATTTCACACACAACAGTTTGGCTCCCGGTTGCAATGCTAACAGATTTCCCCCCTCCTTTTTAACAAAAAACAGCTTGTGTCCTGTTTACAAAGTAGGATTGAGTGCTTTTTCCCTTGAAAACGCCTTTCTTCTGTTTTCAAGTGTTGTGTGCACTTCTGATTTGCTGCAACATGCCATCAGAAATATCCCCGGTGCTTCTGAAAGCACTATTCCCGCCCCCGCCCCCATTTTCAGTGCATTCTATTTAAGCTTTTAGGAGGAAGAGGAACATTCTAACTTTTGTGCTATAGCAAAGCTGCCTTATTCTGCTTCTGCAGAAGTCTCCATAGTGTTTTCAAGGGCAGCTCTATGTACAGCACATTGCAATAGTCAACTCAAGAGGTTGCCAGAGTTTGCAAGACAGAGACCATGCCATTAGCCTCCAGGAAGAGGCATAGGTTGTATAGCAGCCAAAGCAGGAAGAATGCAGTACTGGTCATGAGAAAGAATGTTGAATCCGAGAATACTCCTTGACTCACCTCCTTATAGTGTGTTCCTGTCCTAGAATTGACATATCCCACTTATATATGCCCATCCACCCATAAGCATCTTGACAATTCTTAACTGAGCTCAATTTCTTTACCTTCACCCAATCAATTACTGACCTCAGTCTGTACATCAGAAAATCCTGCTGTTCATAAAGTGCAGAGCTAGGGGAAACAGAACTGTAGGTTATCTTACATATTTTATCTGCCATTTCTAGAAAATGTCAAAGCTCAGGTTTAATGGGATTCCAAGAGCTGTGGTGGCTCAAGTGGTTAAGACACTGAACTGCAGGCTGTGGAAGGTCAGTAGTTCAGCAGTTCAAGACCCGAGATGCCGCATGATGGAGTGAGCCCCCGTCTCTAGTTCCAGCTCCTGCCAACCTAGCAGTTCGAAAGCAAGAAATTGCAAGTAGATAAATAGGTACCACTTCGGTGGGAAGGTAACAGCGTTCTGTGCGCCTTGGTGTTTAGTCATGCCGGCCACATGACCACGGAAACGTCTTCAGACAGCGCTGGCTCTTCGGCTTTGAAATGGAGATGAGCACTGCAACCCTAGAGTCGGACTCGACTGGCTTTTGAGAAAGGGAACCTTTACCTTTACCTTTTAAGAGGAAGAAATGTTTTGGAGCAGTTATTTAGAATATGTCATTTTTGGCATTCATTTTACGAGAGGCACTTTCAAGAAAAATTCCTTTGCAGATCGTAACAGTCTTGATGGAATGTATTTTAGCTCTGCATCTCTCTCTCTATTTTCCTAACAGGTATGAAGAAGAAATTAACAGGCGCACAACTGCTGAGAATGAATTTGTATTGGTGAAAAAGGCAAGTAATGATACAGGCTCCAACTAACTGAGGTAACAGTAAATAAAAAGTGGAGGGGAGGAGGGTCTAAAATAAATGGAAAAAATTAGACTCCTCTCTTTTGTCCTCTTTCTAATACTCAGGGCTCAATATTCAGTCTCCTTCTGTCATGTTCAACAGAGGGCGGAGATAATGCATTGTCTTTGCCTTCAATCTGGAGTCTGGTTAGGGGATGACAAAATATCTTAAACAAGAATGCTTGTTTGCTCCCCTGGTCTGGTTTGTGGCCTGCTTGCAAGATGGAATTATTACAGCAGAAAATTTGACAAAACTATGTTCAGAAGGTTCCACCATGATTGACTGTGGTAAAGAGAGGTTTGTACATGCACAATCACATACCGTTTTGCTGCTACCACCTCCCATCTGCTATTTACAACATTATTTATATCAAGCAAAAAATAACTTCCCACAGTTAGTGACTTACTGGAGAGGTGGTCCCCTGTGTCCCTTGGGGTGTCACTTTGATATGGCAAATTGATTCTGGATACATCTGCACAGTTCTTGTGCTGCTTCATGGGAACTGTAGTTTCTGCCCCCATTTATGCCAAAAACACATTTTTAGAATTTCTTTGACTAGCAAAAGAAGTGTCTCAGGGCTGAGTGACTTTTTTGATTTCAATGACCCAATTTTTAAAAACTAGAAAATGCAGGCAAACTGTCCTGATCTGGATCGAGTGGCACCTGCGTATTGTTGCACTGCTTCATAGGAAGTGTAGTCATTTTGGAATAAGGTCCTTAGTCAACCATATGACTCATTGGGCGATTTCTCACGAGGCACTTGCGCCTGGTTTCCCCTGGAGTTTCCTGCTCCGTAGTGTTTTTTTCAATTTCACATCAAGCCTGTCTGCCCGCCCTCGTGCAGCGGGTCTTTCATTTTACATTGAAGCCTTGGGGAGTGGCTTCCTGCAATTCACCTCCTCCCACTACCGCCCCTTGGTTTCCAAACCCTCCAAAACCCCTCCCATCCGACCTCCCTCCATCCACCCGTTTATATATATTTTTTTGCACGCATGCTCTGTATCGTTAGATCGTTATTTCGGAACAATGGTGGTGAGGAGACATCATGTGACACTTCTTCAGCAATCTGATTGGTGGTCTTTGTCCTCTGAGCCGGGAGTTTTAAAAAAAGGTCTGGGGATTCTCCATTTTGCGCATCTCAGCACTGAGACTTTTCCCCAAGATTGATGACCGTCGGGAGAAAGCGTTAGCTGTACTCTGCTCATTGTTTGAGTGTATATTGTAGCATCTATTTCATTGCCGTGCAGTGTGGGCGGGCAGCATCTTTTTCATTGCTACAATAGGACGGATTGCTTGTTCAAAACTTTAACGCCGTTGTTCCCCCCCCCTTTGTCAACAAAGCTCTTCTGCTGGTGTAATTCCCTTTCCTTTCCCCCCCCACTTCCTCCTCCCACCATCTGGTTTCCAGATTAACCCTTTTGAACAAAGAAAATAATCCCTGTGATATTCCTGGG